TAATATTGTAATCACATAATGTATTATACACTAAGAGCTAGCAGCTGTCCAGTTACTACAATAATTTTGAAGAAGTGGTGCGTGGATATGATATTTTAAGATACTTGCAGAATCTGATATGAAAATAGTTTTGATTTCTACTTGTGGCAAGTCACAGCGATGGGTAATTTTAATGTGAATTGTTGCCTACTTTTGTTATGAAGGAAATGCTAAATTTCAAATAGAAATTAATAAAAATTAAGGTGAAATTTTTCTGTACCCATATTCTGAATCTGTGTGAGACACCAGGAACTCTTTGCCTTAAAACTGCATCCTTTTCTCTCGTGTTTTACCTTCTCCAGAGGCAAACTTATTGCACACTACTGCTGCTCCTCAGCAGCACAAGCTTTTTTTGTGCAGTGACTCATGGATGTCCCCTCCGGTCCTCACAGGCACACCAGGACCTGTGGCATACCTATCCTGTACGGCCACTTTGACTTCATGCTCAGCCTCCAAAAGCACTCTTGTCCCTCCCCTGCCAGCCTGTGCATCTTCCTGTGCCCCCACATCTGTCGGTGGCATTAACAACCATTGCATGTGTCGGGGCCCAAGCCCAGCACATCCAAGGAAGGGAGCCAGAAAGTACCACCGCTGCCGGGGCTTCTGCCCCAGCCTCTTAGGGAAAGCATTCAGGTTCAAGTATTGGTCTGCCTTGCCTTCTCCCTGCAATGTCGTCTAAATTTCTACTCGTACAAGGCCTAGTTCCTCCGTACTTATTTTTCCAACATGTACTTTCTGATAACTTTTTGGTTGAAGATCTCTCATGGAGTTTCCTCTTTGTCTCCATGAAGGGACATCACAGGACTCCAGCCTCTCTTGAAGCATTTTCTTCTGTGGTGCCCCAGCTACCTCACCATTTTAGTTCCCTGCAGGTCACCCTTTACCTTGACTCTCTCAGTGAGTAGCTTCACCTGCACATCCCTTACTTGCTTAATTTTTCACTTTTAAAAAATGGGTCTCACTTCTCTGTCTGTTTTGCTAAAAACCTTTTCCTCCTTCAAAAGCACTGTCCACACTCTGTCAGCCATCACCCCTGCCTCTTGCATTTGACCATCGTTTGGCAGCATTTCTTTTTTCTTTCTTTTTTTTAAAAGATTTTATTTATTTATTCATATAGAACTGGGGTACAGGCCAGAGATGCGGAGGGTGAGAGGATTCACCAGAGACAGAGTGGGGAGCAGAACAGGCAGATCGACGAAGTACACTGCTGAAGGGAGCAGTGGGTGGGTCACGAGAGGTCTGCCACGCCATGTGGATCTCCTCCAGGGCAGGCGGGAATCGAACTCATGCAGAAGTGGCTTAAGCTTCTTAGTGCAGTGCTTTAACCCACTGCGCCACCAGGAAGGGCCCTGGCAGCATTTCTTAAGTGGTATGGATTGGTGAGGACACAGTTACTGAGGTACAATCCAAGTCCTGTCCTAACTGATCTTGACTAGGTGCTAATCCTATAGGTGCCTTAATTTTTCACTTTTTAAAAACTGGCTGTTGATTTCCTGGGTGAAATCTGAAACTGGCTGAATGGTTTCACTCATCACAGGAGTGTAAGGGATCAGGAAAAAAACATAAAGCAATTCCAATAAGTTAAAAATGAAAATCTACAAGCAACTATAAGCAGGAGAGATTCTATGGGGAATAGGGTCAAAACTTGGGTGGGAAGAGCACATGGGACTATGGTGATGGCACAGGGGTGAATTGGTGGTGCAAAGTCCATTAGTTTACAGCTGAGACGGAAAAGTGTATAAAATGAAAATGATGTGTTTGTGTGTGTATGTAAAAAGATTTTATATAAAAAGAGAAATAATGTCTATGCAAGATGGGACCCTTAGAAGATTCAGAACAAAGTGAATCACATGAAACTTAAATAATGTCATTAAACTAGCCTGGTAACATATAATACAAATAAATACAAATGAATAATAAAAAAGAAGAAGAAATCTGAAACTGGCCAAGTACATGTAGGGTGAGACCACTCCAAATTAGTAGGTGGAAATTTTAATAAGAAGGGAATTTATATACAAGACATGTCTTAGGCAGCCTGGAGACAATAGCTCTCAGCCCATACCCACCCCTACCCGCCCCCCCCATCTTGTTTTTAGAGGCCTCAACTGGGTTTAGTGACAATACAGTTTAGATAGTCTCAACAACCATCAGATAGTCTCTACAGACCATCGCAAGATGTGTCTAGCGTAGGGAAAGTAAGCAGAATGCACAATTCAAGGTCAGGATAAGGGTGTTTCCAGTCAGAAAGCCTCTGATTGCCCAAGTCCAGCTGTAGGGTCAATCAGTGGTGCCATCCCCTCAGTGACCTTCTCCAACACGGGTATAATAATGCAGTGGTGAGATTACAAAACTCTATAGAACCATGCCTAACTCAGAGTGAAAGCTTGGCTATATTAACAATATATAATACAATTAACATGCATAGTAATAATACAGGTCTCATATAAAAAGTGACTTACATGAGACACAAGGAAGTATTTTTGACAGAAAGACAGGAGCAATTTTGGGGATATGGCCTTTTAACATATTTTAATGTTGTCCCACAAGTAGTTATCTAGTTAAGAATTTTTAAAAAATATTTATTTTTTATGCATACAGAACTGAGAACAGGCCAGAGATGCAGGGGCGATGAGAGGATACACCAGTCAAGAGTGGGGAGCAGAACAGGCAGATGGGTGAAGTACACTGCTGAGGAGAGCAGAGGGCGAGACAGGGGAGGTCTGCCGTGCCATTTGGGTTACTTCCCAGGCTGTCGATTGCAACTTTGCCGTGCTGCGCTTCAACCCATTGCACCACCAGGGAGAACCAAGAATTTAAGCATACTTTTATGTGTCAGAGATTTTGTTGAACTCAGAGAAATTTTTCTTGTAGCTCTTTGGGCAAAGGGGAAATTGATATTATTCATCAGAATATTTCTTTGGGAATGCAAATCAAATGTATGTTTGCAAATCAGGTCCACATAAAAGAGGTGGTTTTTGAATGTAATTCGGTTTTTGTTTGTTTTTGTTTTTGCTTAAACATTTCCATATCTTCTAGAAATATCCAGCTTCTGTGGGAACAAAAATTTTAAAGACCCTTGGCACACATTGTGTATAACACCGATGTGCCTTTATAACTCATCCTTTACTTTTTGTTTTTGTTCCAGCATCACTGATTTTTTTCCTCTAGGGTTTCCCTGGTCAGTCCATTCCTTGGTTTTGCCACTAGGTGGGGTACTGGCTCCTTCCTAAGACATGGACAACTTTTCTTCAAGTTTCTCCTTAAAATATCTGCCTTGACTCCTTTAATCTAAAGTGACCCCAGGAGGAACTTTTGAACCCTGGCCTGGGAGTTGGTGAGGGAGGCAGTTGGGGCAAAGTTTCGATCAGAGAGAGTCTCTGGTCTCTTCATACCTGTTCTTGTTGAGCTAATATGTCAATGATTTATGTTTCTTAAGTTTTGAGTGACTTGAATTTTACTGGAATCTATTAATTTTATATGAATCTAATAAACAAGTGAATCAATTGTTCCTTGGGATATTTGGTCTAATTTTACATTGAAACAAACAAACAAACAATAATATTAGTGACCTTCACCATTGTGTCAAATAGGTCTTAATAAAATAGAAACAATTAGAAATAAAACTATTCTTACAGTTGAAGATTAGGGGAAAATTGTATAATTTTGTGAACACATGTGCAAAAGCTGAGCATGAATTCTTATTCTTCATTAAGCAACAGGTGAAAATTGTTAATTACATTTTTAAGATTTAATTGCCTTATGGGTGTAAAATAAATTTTACAGTCAATATATAATATATATATATTATATATGTAATATAATATATATGTATAAAACACCCTTTAAATTTCTCACTTTGAAACCATAGAGTAATATGATGTCACTTTGAAAGGCAACTGAAACCTTTTTTTTTTTAAGATTTATTTATTTATGCTTACAGAACTGGTACAGGCCAGAGGTGTGGTGGGCGAGGGGATTCACCAGAGACAGAGTGGGGGGCAGAACAGGCCGACTGACGAAGTACACTGCTGAGGGGAGCAGCCTGAGGGTCAGGAGAAGTCTGCCTCGCCACGTGGGTCAGCTCCCTAGCGGGGGATCTAACTCGAGGTGCAGCGGCTTCAGAGAGATTCATAACGCAGTGCTTTAACTCGTTGTGCCACCAGGGAGAGCCCGCAACTGAAACCTTTCTTAACCCTATAAATAAAAACTACATGTAAAAAACCGTAAAACTGAACTGTGAGTGATTGTCAGGTTTACAGACACAAATCAGAATCAGAAGATCGATAAAGTTTTCATTGGAGCTTTAGTGTTTAGAGGTTTTAGGCTTATGTAGTGCTGATAATAATGGTGGTCAGTGACTTTGATTCTCAGAAACAGTACCGTCCTGTGTGTCTCTTGTGTAATATGAAATTGCGGTTCTATATGTTCCTGCACCACCACCACCTCCCTCCCCGCCGCCACCCCTCCCCCAAACCCCCAACACACCCCTGGCTTGGACAACAATTTAAAACTCCTTATATGAACCTAATTGAATCCAGACTCTTGTTTAAGATGAACGAGTCATTTAATACAGGCAGAGCGGGGAGAAAGCAACAGCGTCCTCTGTGTTTGTGTGCTATCATTTTCTTGGGCAGCAAACACAAAATAAAGCCTGCAGCCTTAGTTCATTGTGTAGGTAGGAGTTATTTCCCACAGCTGCTCAGTGCCTATTTAACATATGGGGTGTGGTTTCTAGTTCTTACTAGAGCTTATAGGCTCTCTTGGCTTTGTGGGCTTGACTAGACTTGAGTTACTGCTGTTAGGAAGCCAGCCAAAAAAGGACTTGGGAACAGACTGCTTTCCCAGTTCTTGTGGATTCTCAACAGTCAGTCCCCTCCCCTCCCCCCTCCCTTGGCTCTCAGCTGCTGTGGAGATTAGTTTCATAGCAAGGATTTTCTCTTTAAAGCACTATGAAGCAACTGCTTTCACAGGGGCACCAGGTTAGTAAATAACTATCTGAACTTTCTGCTGCACTGCTTAGTTTTCTTTCTGTCCTCACAGGGCGCTACATTGCAGTCAGCTATTATTTGTGCTGCTGCCTTATTCCTTTAGAAAAGAATGTGAGTGCGTGGATCTTGGAGAAGTGGGGGTGGGGGGGCTCTCTAATTCTCCTTATAATACATACACTGTTTGACAGTATTAAATATAAATATAAGTGGAAGCTGGGAGGAAATGACATTTGGGTGTTGGGGTTACATTCTAGAAATTTGTATTTGTTTGTAAGCATTTTCAGTTTCTTCTCCAGAATTACTTCTTTGTGTCTGTAGGCATCAATTTTATACACAATTGATTTTATCTCTTTTGGACAGTAGGCAGTAGTATGTTGTGGCTTGCTGGTGGCGTCCTGTGCCCTGTGTGTACTTATCTGATGCAAGGTTTTCCCTTGGGCCTACTCCTTAGAGTTACAGTGAAGGAGAATATCACTTTAATGTTCTCTTTGAGACTCTGACATTTGTCTAGAAAGCCTCTTCAAGTACCTATATAACAACCAATGTGGGCAGAGGCTATAGGTGGACGAATCTGAACTGAACCTTTTTCTTAGCTTTCAGTTTTGATTAAGTGATTTGTCAGATTTCCAGATCCCTTTAGGTAAATATCACTGTGAAAATGGAGAGTACATTGGAAAACATAAAAGCATTGCTGGTAGTAATGCAATGAAACTAAATCAATAAAATTAAGTATCCAGAGAATATCTTCCTTAATTTCATTAACTTAAGGATCTAGAGAGAAACTTTATCTTTGTTAATTTGTCACCAAAGCACACCAAACAATATCCATGAAATTGTTCTACAAGGGAAGTTCAATTTGGTGATCTCTTATAGTTGGCGACACGTTATGAACTATACTTACTTTTATGTGGAGTACATTTAATTCAAGTTAATGCTCTAGTTTTTTTTTTTTTTTTTTTTGTTAGTATACTGACATGCTTCTGTTTTTGCCATCTTAGCCTTCTCTTTTTATTTCCTACTGGGAAATACATTATATAGTACAGTGTCTGCTCTTTCAGGTTAAAATAGTAAAATTGCAGGCAAAGAGACAAAGAAAAAGGTACATAAAAAAAATCTTTCCGATGATATGCTAAACATTATTGCTCCCACTTTCCAGCAGTGTGAAGTTATGTGTCAGTTCAGAGTTATAAGATTGACTGGTCTTTATAACTTATGACACAATTATGTAGGGGTAGTTATTGGTTCTGCCTCTATAGTTATCCTCTTTAACAGCAAAACTAGTGTCATTTTAGTTTTCCAAATAAAAAAGCAATTTTTAGGCCCTCCCTGGTGGCGCAGCGGGTTAAAGCACTGCACTAAGAAGCTGAAACCACTTCCGCATGAGCTCGATTCCCGTCTGCCCCGGAGGTGACCACATGGCGTGGCAGACCTCTCCTGACCCGCCCGCTGCTCCCCTCAGCAGTGTACTTCGTCGATCTGCCTGTTCTGCTCCCCACTCTGTCTCTGGTGAAGCCTCTCACTGCCCCTGCAACTCTGGCTGTACCCCAGTTCTGTATGAATAAATAAATAGATTTATTTAAAAAAAAAAAAGCAATTTTTAATTATTAAATGCTATTCATTTAAATTGTACAGTTTAATCGGCTCAAAGCTTTAACTTGAAATTAGAAGATAACAAAAGAGAAAATTCCTCATCTCTACTTAATTTGAACTAAAATATAAAGATGTAATAAAACTAAACTAGTCTGGCAAGAAGAGAATGAGAATTGTAAAGCATGTTCTAAACTCAGGAGATTTGTAGCAACCTGAAGATTTTATAGAAAAATGTAAAGACATTTTACTCATTGATTTCTTATTTGTAATAGGTATGGATAAAAGTCTTTAAAAGTTTACATAAAGCTCATTTATGTAGGCCTCAGATCTGTTTCTTCAAGTGCCTCACAGCCTTTTCATGTAGAGATGATAGCAAAACAAGATATCACAGAATAGAAATAGAAATCAACAGCATGACAAAGTACAGAATAAGGAAAAACTCCCTAAAAGCCAGAATTTAGGTTTTCCCTAAAGGATATTCTTTAAAATAAGTTTGCTCTGAACACATGAAGAAAACCCAGACTGTATAGTAGAGTTTCAATGTCTGTAATTTTGGTGTAAAATAAACAAATCTTATTATTGATTCTGGGTTTAGAACATGCTTTACACTTCTCATTTTCTTCTTGCCAGACTGGTTTAATTTTATTACATCTTTATCTTTTAGTACAAATTAAGTTGAGATGGGAAATTTTCGCATTTTTTATCTTCTAATTTCATGTTAAACTTTGAGCTGATTAAACTGTATCCAACATGCTTTCTTGTTTATCTTCAAAGTGCTTTGAACTCTCAAATTTCAGGTGACTTGTGAACCCAACTGGTGATCTGGAAGCATGTGATCCTGTTTTCTTTTAAAATAAATTTGAGTTTTCAAGTTGAGTCAAATCATTAGGCAAGCTATTATCAACATGAATTGGCCCACACCCCCAAAAATGGGGAAAATGGAATGGCAATAAGTGATAAGAACACTGAGGAAAGATATATGGATAACTAGGAGTAATCATGATATTTTCTGACTTCTGAGCTTTAATAAATTTTCACCTGTCAACCATTGCCTTTGCAACTTAGATACCTGTCATTCCACCCCTACCTCTTTATCTTCACAGTGCCGTTTTGCATTTTGGGAGGTAATAGCTATTGAGCTGCAATTTCTTTCCTTATCAGATTCATGTGAATCTACAGTAAACACTGTGAAGCCTGCCCTTTCATGCCACACGCCCTGGATTCTTGCCCTTATCTCTCCTCATTGAATGTGCACGTGGGTTCTGTGTTTACATATCAGAAATTGGGGACAGAAAGTGGGAAGATTGTGATGCGACCTGTCCCAGAAGTTCACTGTTTGAAACCTGCTCCAGAAGTTCACTATTTGAATAGTGACAGTAAACACTAAATTCCCAGAGGGATAGCAGAGGCTGAGCACAGGTCTTTTTTTTTTTTTTTTTAAAGATTTATTTATTTGTTCATACAGAGCTGGGGTATAGGCCAGAGGCTCAGGGGCGGCGAGAGGCTTCACCAGAGACAGAGTGGGGAGCAGAACAGGCAGATTGACGAAGTACACTGCTGAGGGGAGCAGCGGGCGGGTCAGGAGAGGTCTGCCACACCATGTGGTCACCTCTGGGGCAGGCGGGGATCGAACTCATGCGGAAGTGGCTTTAGCTTCTCAGTGCTGCTCTTTAACCCTCTGTGCCACCAGGGAGGGCCTGAGCACAGGTCTTTACCATCAGAGTGGATCTGCCGAGCACCTCCCCAGTGTGGAAGAACCCAATGTAAGCTTGACCCTCATCCACTTCTTAGATTGACAGTAATAGTTATGACTGAAGTCATAGAGGGGGTGGTTACAGTAATAATAATAACCAACACTCAACAACAGCATCCCCTTCACACCTTGTTCTGAGCCTCCTATATAAGCCTCACCACGACTCTTATCTACTATAAATAACCATTTTATGGTTAAGAAAGCTGGCCTTGGGAAGGTTACAGAATTTGCCCCAAGTCATACATCTAGGTAGAATAGCAGTATAGTGCTGAGAAGAGACTTTGTGGCAGGGAAAACAACTGATTTTGTTGGGAAATATATTCCACTGCTTTTTATGAACAAGATGCAACGATGTAAATATTAACATCTGTGCTGCTTTTCATGCGGAGATGCTTCTGCTAACACACTGTCATGTCCTTTGTTTTCTTTCCACCTGGAGGGGGTGAGCTCATGCTCTGTTTTCTTACCTCTTCTGCTGGAACCAGAGGCAAGACCCTGGTAAGCAATGGCGGTATATAGAGGTGACCGGTGACCAGATCGGAGACCCATGGTGACCAGTCCACATGGAGAATGAACCCACTGTCTCCTAATGATTTCAGTGTATTTTCAGACTTTTAAAGGCTAAAATGATAAAACTACTTACGCAAAGAACTTGGACCTTCTGATTGTTTAGTTTTAATTTGGCCTAGTTGAGTGGCCTCTTTGTTTGTGGTATGATTTCCTGCTGATAATCAAAGCTCTGATTTGTCATATTGAAGAGGAGGGAAAGCCAAGAATAGGAGACTTTTATTTCCTTTAAAAACATACTTGTTTACTAGAAAAACACTGAGCAAAAACACTAGATTTGGCTAAAATTGAAATATGTGACAAGTAAACCTGGAGTCTTCAATAATATGTAAATATATAGTCTAGAGAAATTAAGGAGCAAAGTAAAAAAAAAGAAGAAAAATCATACATTTAAAGTTCTGTTATTTGGTTGGAGAAGCACTTTCCAACTAAAGTGCTTCTTTGGTTTTTCTGTTTTAAGTTAAAACAGAAAAAGGTTAACACTTGCCATATAGGAGTATAAAACTGTGCTCTTTAAATCATTTGTTATCATGAAAAGTTGGAAATAATAAAAATAAACAGTATTTGGAAAAAAAGTTGCCTGGTGGACCTTTATGCAATAGCTACAAATTTATTTGAAAAATTATAATAGAAAATGGTTCATGTTGATTTTAAGATAAAAAGCTGAATGTCAATACACGCATCACATGCATATCTTTCATGTTTACAATGTGTTTACCGAGTTTGTCCTCTGTGGGAGAGAGAAGAAGTGCGGTCTTCTTAAGTTGATAGGGCTTTAGAGTTATTTTGAAGGTGGGATTGCTGTTGTTTTGTATTTTCTTACTTTTTTTTTTTAAGATTTATTTATTTATTCATACAGAACTGGGGTACAGGCCAGAGGCTCAGGGGCGGTGAGAGGCTTCACCAGAGACAGAGTGGGGAGCAGAATAGGCAGATTTACGAAGTACACTGCTGAGGGAAGCAGCGGGCGGGCCAGGAGAGGTTTGGCTCGCCATGTGGTCTCCTCCGGGGCAGGCGGCAGGCGGGAATCGAACTCACGCGCAAGTGGCTTCAGATTCTCAGTGCTGTGCTTTAACCCGCT